TTTATACTGACTGTCCGGCAGTGCCGGCGGGCGGCCAGCCCTGCCTCTACGCAGGCGAAGGCTGGAACACTTTCTCTCCCGCTCTGCCCTTCTTCCCGGGACGCTCAAGAACTACTACTGTTTGTTTGAAACAAAAAAAAAAGAAAAAAAAGAAAAAAAGAAAACCAGCCCCAAAACAAAAAACACCGAAACAACACTACCCAAGGTTGTTTTCCTCGTTCTCCCGGCCTCCCGAGTCAGCCCATCTCCGGCGCGGAGCCGGGTTGTGCGGGGAAGGCAGTGGGGAGCAGCTGCGGTCCTGGGGGTGCAGAGCCCCGGCCCATTGCCCTCGGTTAGGGGGAGGTGTGCTCATTTGCAGTTGAATTTCCAGGTGCTTCTCCTTTCCAAGTATCTTAGGATAAATTTCCTGAACTCTTAACCATAGGCTGTTTTAGTGACTCTTTGGAGAGAGATTGCAACTTGCTCTTAAAAAAGATGAAGCTCACTCATTTAAATAGTTGCAGTTGGACACAGCCCTGTCTGTCAGGAGTTGCTGTTTGCTCACCCCACACTCCCGCCGTTTTTTTGCCAGTTTCTGCAGTTGTCGTACTGTAAATGGCTTTTTTGTATTTTTTGCAGAAAGACGTTAACATTTTCTAACAAGGACAGGTGTGTTCTTTTCTTGAGAAATAAGAGTTAAAAACCCAATAAGCTAGGAAACCTGTAAATGGAAAGAGATTGCGTGGATGTGAGCAGTGTATTTTTATTTCTGGCGGCAGTAGCTGTTTACTGAAGTCTTAACATTTAACGTATTAAACTCAGGCAATGTCTAGTATCAAACCTTGTTGAAATTCGTGTTTGGCCGCAACAATTACAAATCATTCCAAACATCATCTGAAGAGGAAAAAAATACAGCAAATGTTAGATAAATTTTTCAAGATTTGCTTAATTACAGAGTAGGAAAGTCAGCTTTGGTGTTTTTTCTTGTTTTATAGATAAGATTTCATCTTCGAGGTTTATTTATTTTGATACTCTCTAATCAGAGGAATGTGTTAAAAGGCAGGATGAAATAAAATCCTAAAAACAGGTTTCTAACAGAATTGCTATTTTAATGGGCAATTTTACAAGGATGGATTTAGTTTCAGTAATAGTTTTAAGAAGAATTTTAAAGAGACATCAAAGTGTCTGAAATCTTTGTAACAGAGCTAGCCTCAAAGATCAGAGGGGGGAAAAAAAGTATTTGAAAAGTGCTTCTTTTGAAAAGGTCAGGATTATATCTAAAACTACTTTAACCTGTTTCTTTTTATTCTAAAATGTTGGCCACACTTAAAGTTGATAGTCTTGCTTTAAGCTGGTATTTACTGGGTAAACCCTGTATTGTGTTTTGTGGTTAATCATAGACATTTTAAAGTCAGTCTTCTACCTGAAGCGGGATGTTTTTCATCTTTCCACTTCCAGAATTTTCTTACTGTGAGTGGTTACACTTGTCAATACAAAGGCATTTTGCTCAGGAGTATTTTATAGACCTGTATCTTTATGGTTACCGTATTTTGTTTTCTTCTGGTATTTTGTTTGTATATAAGCCAACCAGTTAACATACTTGCAACATTGTCAGAACTAACCCTGACTGTGACCTGACTGGTACTGTTTCCTAGAAAAAGGCCTTGTGATTTTTTTCTGTGAGGAGAATTGAGAGGAGTCCCAGGCTATCTCATACCTGCCTTCATCTCTCTTCTTAAAGTTTTTTCTTTTTTATTTTTTTTTTTAATTTTTTTTATTACAGTCTATTAGACAACAGCCAGGCTGAGACTGTGCCAAGTCCACCTTCTTCCCACAGCATGGGCTGTCTGGCTTCATTGGTTTTACCCATCATGTGTTTTACAGATAGATTAGAAGGCCTTGTGGGTAGGCTCTGTTTTGCTTTGTTTCCTGGTATGGTTAGTTTTTAGGGCCATTGTAACAGTAATACAAATTTCGATCAAGTAGTTGCCAGTCAAATGTGGGAAATCTGAATGCAGCCTCATCATAACATTTTTTTTAAAATATAAATTAATTGAAAAGATGAATATATTTATTCTAGTGTCCTTGTAATTTTTGATTTAAAAAAAAAGAAAATGAAATGCTGTGAACAGCATAGGCAATTACCTACTGTCATATAATTATTTTTCTGAAGTTGTGTTTGGAGTTGAAATCAGAACTAGTGGGAGGCTTTTCTTTTTTAGAATGGAGTCATTCAGGAAGAAAAAGAGCCTTTGTCTCATTATGAGTCTGTTAAGCCTGAAATTTCACATTATGAAGTGAATACTATCTACGTTTTCAAGCTGTCAAGTACAGTATCCAGATTTAATGAACACAGGATTTTGAAAAAATATTTTTTGTCCATGTATAGGTTAGAAGAAGGTTGTAGGTGTGCATGAGAATAATGTCAGGTAGGGCTAGAAACTCAAATTAGGAATATATTTATTATCGTATTTATCGTATTACTTTGATAGGACTGAAACATAAGCGGCTGCTTTACAAAAATCTGTTAAATGTGAAAGGATGCCATGTTATTTATACTATTTCTACTTTAAGTTTGAGTTATACAGCAAATTACGGTCAGCATACAGAATTTTAGCATGGATAAAAGCAGAAAATAAGGGGAATAGCTGTATGGTTACAGTCTTGTATTGCACTTTCAAGCTTTTTTGTAGAGGGCTAGATAAAAGTGGGAAATTTACATTGGAAATGCTGAAGAACGTTGCTGGTAATAGTGTGGTCACAGGGAAACCACCAGTCTGTTCTAGCAAGGACTGCTTGTACTATGTGTTCTCCTGTCCATGTCTCAAGAACATAGTTTTACAGAGCTGGTCTAGATCTGTGTTCCAGTTCCTGCCTGGGACTGGATTTTCTGCCTTGGCTTTTAAAGAATCTCTACCTGCAGTTATAGTTCGAAGTCTGCAAGTCTGAACATGGATTTTGTAAGCAGTGTGTATTCTAAAGCACTCGGTTTTATTGTTAGACTATAGTATTTCTTTTGATGGGGATTAGAATCCATGAAAAATACTATGTTTTAGTTACATGAAGAGAGCAGGATTCTTTCCTCACCGATAGTGGAAAAGGTTCCAGTAGATCTTGAATGAATGTCAAAAAATAATTGTATTCTCTGTGTCAGAGTATCATTTCTTGGCCATAGAGAAGAATATTGTTCTGTTAGCTTTTATATTTTTTAATCAGTAATTATTTTTATTTGCAGTTATATGCAGTAAAAAAAATTTATGTTCAGTAGTGTCAACTGAACCTATTGCCTGTAATAATTAAAGCTTTTGAGAATGAGAAATATGTTTAAAATGTTGAAACTTTACGCAAAGTATCCCATGAAGGATAAACATTATTCCTAACAGGAGAGTCTTCATTTAAAAAGATTGCTAATGCTGGCAACTCTGGAGCAGATAAATTTTTAATCCAAGTTATCTAGTAATGAGTACAGACTAATTATCTCTGGAGTAGAATACAGTCCTTGTTCTGAAGGGATTCCAGTGTAAGTGGCTGTTCTTCATGGAACATCTCCAATTAGTTATAAGATACAGAACTGGATCTTTATGGATACTCTATGTAAGCACTATACATATCTAGTAAATGTTATATGGTGAAATCATCCTTTTCCTACTGCTAGTATTTTGCAAACTTTTTTTTATTTCAAAAATTTATAACCAGCTCTGATGATACTAATTTTTAAGTAATTAGGCAGAAGTAATAAGGGACTAAAACTTTAATGCGTACTTTTAATTGCCACTATTTTCTTTTTCCTACAGTGGTGGGAAGGACAGCTGTTATAATATGATGCAGTGTGTTGCTGCTGGACATCAGATTGTTGCTCTAGCCAATTTAAGACCTGCTGAAAACACAGGTATGAAAGCCATGTTTTTCCTAGAAGATTTTTTATATTAGAAACAATGGAGACACAGCTGTGCCTGAATTAAGTTCTTTTATGTGGTTATATAGTTTTGCATATCGCAGGGAAATCTAGAAATCTTAAAAGAGGTAGAAAAAAGAAAATCCTCTGTAGATGTATTAAATGTGTTTTTTCATCAAAGGGGAAAAAACACAAGAAGATGAAGATCTGTAAAAGAAAGACTTACATAATTTGAAAGAAGGAGAATGCAAATATTTCTGGTGGTAAACAATGGGATTCTGTGAGTTAAGTTGCACAAATAGTAAAAGGTGGTAGAGGATATCATCAAACAAAACAAACTTTGTATTTCTAGAAATGCCTTAAAGTGGCATAAACCATTTCAGCTGCCAAAAATACGCAGTTTTGCTGCTGCTCGTTTGTTTTTAGCTTTGTGTATCTTCCTCCATTATTCTAGCCCAGCGTTCGTGGACTGCATTGAGGAACTGATCTGGATTGGAATGACCTTGATGCACTTCTTTTTCCTGCCTTCCTTTTTTCCTTTTAGCTTGAACCAGTTTTCTGATCAGTTGCTCACAGGCTGCACCTAGCCTTATTTCTGTGAAAGAGAGTGGGTGAAACTCAGGTAGTCTAAGTCAGTGGTGAGGTAAGAGGATGAGCTAAGTACTTACTTTTGTGTTGGACTGGAGCATAAATTGAAGTGAGACTTGAAATGAGTTGTTTCCCAGCTGGTAGGGGAGAATGTTAAAGTATGTTAACATAGGTCAACTGTTCAACGTGTATTAAACAGTTAAGTATGATATCTGGTAACTATATGGTAGGAAGATACACAGAAAGCGAAGAAAAAAGGGAGCTGCCATCACAAATGAGTCACAGAGAGAACTGGCAAATGCCTGGGAGTACAGGAGCAATTCATTTTCTGGGTAGCTAGGACATAATCATCTCTAATCTTGTTGAAATATGTTGTCTTTAAACTAATTTATCCACATCAGAAATGTAGAATATTGTCATTAAAATCATAAAATGTTCTCTTTAAGTGTGTCGTTGGAAATTTTGTGGAAAGTTAATTGAGGTGCTTCAGGCAATAGTGGATTCAATGCCATTCATTTTATTTTATCTTGTACCACTGTTGCCTGGAGAGTCTCAATTAATAAAGAAACTGTGTATTTTGAACTGAATATCAATTTAAAGACCTTGTCATATTCATGTATGTTGAAAAACACTCTTCTGGTCTAGGTTGGTTAGTTGTGATTATTGGTTTGGATTTGCCTATTTTGAGCATAAGTGCATCTGTTGTATGTCATCAAATGTGACATAACCTAATTGTTACATCACAAATTAGTTATCTTGATCAACGTCACAGACATTTTTCTTTGCAGTGTGTGCTACATAGGTATACAGCAGAGATGTTTAGCGTGTCTGTGTAAATTAAGAGAAGTTCCAGTATTACGAATTAACATTAAAATAACAAACTGTGTTATCTTTTAATAAATAGAGATTTCACCAATAATGATGTATTGCTTTATCAATCTGAAAAATTATCTGGAAGATTTTATATGTAAACTGTTTATCATATAGTTCGAGATTTAATTCTAAACAATGATGTCTGCATTTTAGCTGTTTCTTTCTTACCTGCTAGGTACAAACTGATTTAAGACAATCCAGTTAAATTTTTCTCCTGGTTAAGGAAATGTCAGCAAAGACCTGATTTCATGTTGAGCTTAATTTTTAAAAGGACTGAAGGTAGAAAGGGCCTGGATTTCCTTTTCTTTTAATATATTAAGCAATGTCAAAACATGGGAATGGTTTACTTTTCTTCTACTTAAGCAGAAATAATCTCTTCCTCTTTCTTGATGACCATGATAACAATTTTAACAGTAAAGTTTTTAGAAATTTTGACAACCTATTGCTTATTTTCAGTGTTGCAGTGCATTCTGAGTTTTCTGCTCCAAGTATGTTGAAATGCATCTGGGTTTGTGCCTCTGAACTGTGTTCCTACTAAAATTACCATATAAATAGGAGCAGAATTGGACTGTTATGAGATTTTTGGATGAAGCAGGGAGAATGCTAAAAAAGAAACAGACACCACAATTTCCGAATATGCACCATGTTTGTGACAGATGTCTTCCTCTCCATGGGTCTATTGGGTGGAGAAAACTTTTTTTTCCCCTTATCATGTTTATAGAGATATTGTCACCAAACATGTTTGTGAACAAAAAAATATTAACATTTAGATCTTCTCAGTTCTTTGTAGTATTGTGATTCTCTGTAATTGCTGAAATAATGTACCTAATATGATTGTTTCTTAATCGTGGCAGGGCAGACTGATGAATTGGACAGCTATATGTATCAGACAGTAGGACACCATGCCGTTGACCTATATGCTGATGCTTTGGATTTGCCACTCTATCGTGCTTTCATAAAGGGTACCAGTGTAAATACTGGAAAAGTGTATACCACATGTCAGGAAGATGAGGTTGAAGATCTTTACCACCTCATGAAACTTGTTAAGGTATGCTGAATGAAAAGAATTAAATAATTGGGGACAATGAGATTGCTTAACTCATTTATGGATTTAAGTAAATGATCCACGTAGGTATTTAAGGAAAGTTTTGAGAAAAAATTGAACATTTTTACAAGTTTTATTTCTATTCCTTTGTTCTTCCTAGCTACTTTAAATATATAGTATAAATTTGTTCCTTTTTCCCCAATGTAAATGAGACTTACTAATCCCCATTTCAAGCCAAAACCTTGTTCCTGTTTAATAAAAACACATTTAACAGGTGCTTCACATGTACTACAAAAATCATAATTATCTATAAATAGACTGTTTATGTAGTTTCATATTTGAAATAATGCATTGCTTGATTGCTGGAATCTTTTGGGCTTTGTGCATTTATCAGTATACGGAAAGTAATGTCTAGACATTTCCATTTGTGTAGACTTACACTCTGTAAACCAGAATCTGTTATTTGTTTGTGTGTTGCAGATCATTCTCAAAGTATTACAGAATATTTTACACTGATAGTTTTGATTCTAGCAGCCCTGTAACTATATTCTAATATATCACATAATAGCAATAACATATATCAAACCTTTTTAGCTATAAAACCAATTAAAGGGAGATAATGAATGTATTTTCTAAACTACTTGAAATTTATTCTCTGTTCTTTTCCAAAATGTTTCACATAGTATTTCATTTTCCACCAGAATTAAAAAAGATCTAATTGAAATAAATAGAAAACTTCCCATTGAATCCAGAGGTTTTACACAAGTTTTGACTGAACATGCCATCTCTATTCCAGTTAATTGTGTTGATGACTGCAGTCATCAACATTGTAAAACAATGCTATGTTCAGAAAATCATATTAATTGATGTTTTTAAAAAAGTAAATACATGTTTCATTTTATTGATCAAACTGGTAGACTACTTTCTGAAACTTCAGCTAAAGATATTTGTAGTGTTCAGTTCAGTTGAAGATTTTCTAGCCCTCTTTCCTCCACTGAAATGGGAATTGAGATTGATGAACCTAAAAACTTTAGGCTTATTCTTTGTTCATTAAAAAAAAAAATAACTTGCAGATAAGACCTGAGAATATGGTTTGAGTGAAAAATGCTTCCTGAACCATGTGGGAGTCAAATGTTATATATAAACATTTTTGGCAGGGAAATCATGTTCTTCTAAAGTAGAATCAAGATCATACACCTGTGTTGGAGTATGAGACTAGAAGACAGGAGAACAGTCCATGTAGGCTATACAGCCTCAAGTTGCACCAGGAGAGGTTTAAATTGGATATGAGGAAGAATTTCTTCACCAAGAGGGATGTCTAGCATTGGATCAGGCTGCCCAGGGAAGTGGTTGAGTCATCAGCCCTGGAAGTGTTTAAAAGATGTGTAGATATGACACTTGGGGACATGGTTTCGTGGTGGATTTGGTAGTGTTAGGTTTACAATTGGACTCAATGGTTTTAAGGGTCTTTTCCAACCTAAATGGTGCTATGATTATGCTTTAGAGTGCTTCACAGAGGTTTTCAATGGAATGTGCATATCTTGCAGTACGGGAATTGAAAGAAATATGGTACAGTGATTTTAAATCACTTTTGAACGTGATAATACTGGAAATTAGAATGACTAGTATATGCTGTCTCTTAAGGCTGAATACTAACAGCCTTTTGCCACTGGGTAAAATAATAAATTACTGATCAATGTAATTAAAAATGGTCAGATTAGTGGCAATTAAGATGATACTTCCTTTTCGATTCTTGCTGTCTTTGGAGAAATGGATGCCTGACGTAAATTAATTCTAGTGTTAAATCTTGACAACTTCTGCTTTGGAAGTTTGTACGTGATAATTATAACTATAGTTGAAAGAGATGTTATCAAGTTGTCTGGAACTAAATAACTGTTTCTTTCCTATATAGAAATATTAATTCCACTATATTATATTTTAAAGACATAAATATTAACAATGTACTGCCTTTATGTTAGACTTTGGATAACCATGTCTTTACGGTCAAACCTCTCTATGAAATTCCAGTGCAAAATTTTCAGTAGAAGTCTTGCATATTCGGATGAATAATTGCAAAATTATCAGGGGTATGTAAAGTACAGAAGCTGTCTTTGCTTTTTTAATTTTGAGACACGAAAAATTTTCTTTTGTGTGTTAACAGTATCTTTGAAAGCTTTCTATTTTTATTTTTTCACATTTTTTATAACTGCAGTTTTGTAGCTTTACTATGTAAGTCTTAATCACTGAAGATTATGCTTTCGGAATTTTTTTCCCCAGATGTTAATAGTTTTAAACAGATCAATTTGCATTCAGTTGAAGGGAGGGGAGGAATTCTGCGGATGCCTTGTCAGAATGCATCCTTGAGTGGATGTAATTTCAAAACACTGCTCAGATTTAGTTCTGCAAATGGTTTGGGCCCAAGAATACAGGAAAGGTGTATTTAGATCAAAATCACATAGTGTGCCTCATTTTCCGTTTGTAAAGAACACTTGTATTGCAAGTACTTCTTTCGTAAAAAAAGAAAACAAACACATTTGAAAAACTAGTATGAATTCAGAAGCATTTGATGTTTTTACAAAGAGTGTTGTAAGAACAAGATTTCCAAAAAGTTAAATATTTCTCTGCAGTGGTAGGAAGCCCAGGATGACAGTCCTGTTCTAGTTCATGGGACTCAGAAAGTGATATTGACTGACAGTGACTGTAAACCTGCTAATTTTATTATCACAAACTCAGATGATTGATAGGTATGAAGGAAATTTATATTTATTTTTTAGTTGCCAAAGCCCTGTTTTAGATTCTGTATTCAATATATATTGTGAAACATATCAGGGTATTTGTATGATATCTAAATGTATCTTACTATGCAGTCCTCACCTCATAGTAGAATATTTACTTTGTGAGACATGTAAACCCTGAAATCTAAGGAATAATTTAATCTACTCTCCATGTTACTGAATAGGGATTACCAGTAGCCTCGTTTGGCCATGTTTGTCACTTTGTATATTGGAGATTTTTCCAGCAAAGCGTGTAAGCACTAGAGTTTCTTAGTTATCTGAATTATCCTCCAGGGTTTTATCGTGGAGCTGTCTTTGAAACCAGGAAATGTGTGGGAAAACTTTGTTTCTTTCCCTTTAGTGCTTGGAAAGACTGGAGCATGGAGGTGTTTTTATGAAGCTTTCTTACAGCACCTCAATATAGGCATATTTAACTGCTTTCTCCCCTTTTCATTGTAGTTATGATCTTGTCCAAATAATACATTGATGTTTTATGCAAGCACATATACAAGTAGTGTTAGGTGGGTTGAACGTTGGGTTGTTTTCTGTATCTCATGGAACTATGGCTAAACTTTTGTTTAGAGCAGTGGTTGTAGCAGCTTCCAGACTATACAAACCAATACAAGATAATTTATTTCATTTCTGGGTTTCAGTAGACAGTTCTGTCCACTTCAAAAGTTTCTTGTCTTATATCCTTTGCTCTGTGAAATCTTTGCCTGTATTTGGTAAGTTTCTGCTGTTGGAGTGGTTTGTAGAATTCTTGAACTTGATAACAATATTTTTTCTTCTGTCTGTTTTTTCATCTTTCTCAATAACATTTATCATTACTTGACTTTTTTTTGAAATTAGTATTTCAAAAATTGATTCTATTTATAGTTTCTTTGTAATATATCTACCCGTATTTATTGTAAAGCATGCAAGTTGATATTCAGTGCATTTCCAGTTTTAACATGTTATTTCTGTCAAGAGTTCTTTGTGGTGCCCTTTGTGGGATCAGAACCTGCAAAAAACCCCAGAGTACACTTCAAAGAAATTTAAAAACAATTAATATATTTGATCTCAGGACTGAAGGATTATTAAATGTGATAGCATCCATTGATCATCAGCTGAAAAGTAATAATTGATGTTGGATATATTGGATATATGAAACATTTGAATTGTAATAGTCTTTGGTTGTGGCACTGTATCTATCAGTAACAAGAAAGGAGAGAGAAAGAAAACATTTTCTAAAATATTGTTATCTTCTGGAGCAGTGATCTTATAACTCAGTCATAAGAATAAGTAACGTGTTTTTTACTTACAGTAACAAAGAGTTTATTAATACACTGTGACTCCTGTATTTAATAGTTATTTTTCAAGGACAGGATCATGATTTTTGAGATGGACCCAGACTATGTTTACTGAAACCAGGAAGTATTCCTGTCTGAGAGTTAAAATTGCCATAGCTTTGTAATTTTAGATGTTATTTAAGATGATAATTTGTCTCAGACAAAGTACTTTATCAGTGCAGATTCAGGTGGAGTAGAGGTAAACATAGGTCCTATCATTACTGAGTGAAACTACCTAAGTCTTGGAGTTTTTCAGGAGACAGTTCTTCAAGGTCTAAGATGAATGGATGAAATATAAGGTTATTCTGTGGCCTTTGGATAGGGTTTAATTCCCTCACAGAAGATAAAGCTTTCAGCTCCTCATTATTGCTCCTAGTCTTCCATGCTATTGAAACAGTCTTCCTTTTACCCTTCTCCAGAATTTAACTGCTATGGCCAATAGGCCAAACGAGTTCTCAAATTCAGTCTGATGACTGACTTTCTGTGGCTGTTGTACAGCCAAATGATGCTCCCATCAGGAAACATACATTAATAAAATGTTGTATTCTACTGCAGGCATTGCTTCACTGTCTTCACTGTTGTAAAATGCACTTAAAAGAAACATTAAGTATTTAGAAATAGTCATTTGGCTTTTAGCTGTCCATTTTAATCAGCTCTCAGTGGTCCACATGACTTCAGTAATAGTATTTACATGATAAAGACTAATAGTGTACTATTAACTCATACAAATAAAGTTCACAGATTTTCTTAGGAGTTTTAAAGATCTAAATATTGTTAGTTATGGTATCCCGATTGATTTCAAGAATCTGTAATCTGAGGACCTCAGCATGATGTTCACCAAACTGGTTTTGCAGTTTATAAGTTCAAAGTACGTAGCTTTCCCCACTCACTGATGGAATTC